ATCTTTTATTATAAATCCTATATGCTTTACTTGATTGCGAGTACCCTAGAAAAATGCCTTCATCGGCTTTTGAATCAAACTTGCCCAAGTTTTCCTTTCCATTGTTTAATACAAAGCACTTGCATCCAAAAACATGAAGGTGAGAAACATTAGGCTTTCGCCCTTTTAAAAGTTCATACGGAGTTTTGTTTAGAATGGGGCGGATGAGTACCCTATTCAAAACATAACATGCCGTACTAATGGCGTCGGCCCAAAAGTATTTTGGTAAACCACTATCATTAATCATTGTTCTTCCCAATTCTTCTAAAATTCTGTTTTTACGCTCCACAACCCCATTTTGTTGAGGAGTTCGTGGAGCCGAGAAGTTATGATCGATGCCATGGTTACCGCAATATTCTTCAAATAAATGATTTTCAAATTCACCTCCGTGGTCACTTCTTATTGACACAATGTTTGTATTTAACTTATTTTGGGAGAGCTTGGCAAATCTCTCAAAAGCGGCAAACGTGTCACTTTTACTCACTAAGAAGATGGTCCAACAGAACCTAGAAAAGTCGTCCACTATTACGAATCCGTAATAGTTTCCTCCTAGACTTTTGATCCTAGACGGCCCAAACAAGTCCATATGAAGTAGTTCAAGAGGTCTCGTTGTTGAAATAATCTTTTTGGATTTAAAGGAGATCCTCGTTTGTTTTCCTTTTTGACAAGCATCACAAAGGTGATCCTTGGTGAACTTAATTTTGGGAAGTCCTAGTACTAGATCTTTTGAGACAATCTTATTGAGTAAGTCAAAGTTGACATGCGCTAAGCGCCTATGCCATAGCCATGAGTCTTCACTCATAGATATGAGACATTGATCGCTTGTTGGGGATACCACATTCAAGTCAAGCATATACACATTGTTTACTCTAAAACCAATAAACACATTCTTCTTATCACTTTCATGCACAATTTTGCAGCAATCTTTTGAAAAGGAAACATTGTAACCTTTGTCGCATAATTGGCTAATGCTAAGGAGATTATGTTTAAGGTTTTCGACAAGCAACACATCGGAAATTGTAGTAGAGGAGGGATTACCTATACTACCTTTACCTAGTATCGCTCCGCGGTTGTTATCACCGTATGTTACATACCCTTTCTTCTTAGCCACGAAGTCTATGAATAAGGATATGTCTCCAGACATGTGCCTTGAGCACCCACTATCAAGAACCCATCTTCTCTCGGTGGACTCGACACATTTCACCTGTCAAAATGTAACTTAGAAAAGGGAGGTACCCAATGGCATATTGGGTCCTAATAGGTTAGCGACAAGACGGTTGCGTTTGGGCAACCATTGGTAGATGCCTTTAGGAACAAGAAATCTCCTAAATCGACATTTACCAATGGAGTGGCCTTTCTTGCAACAGTAAAAGCATACAAAGTCGACATTAGAATCACTTTCACTTGCTTGATCCCTAATTACATATGCATATTTTTGATATGGGTTTATCATACTTTTTCTAAAATCCTTTTTATCGATTGCAAATGTAATTTTAGGTTCAAGTGCCTTGTCTAATTTGGCCTTAAGGTTTCTAACCTCACCTTGCCAAATATGACAAGTATCACAACCAAAGTTGAAAGGATTACTATTGTCCTTACAATCCGATTCATTATCTTTCACAATGGAAGCCTTAAGGTCCTCTAATTTCTTTTCGGACTCTAAGACTTTGTGCTCTAAATATGTAAAAATTCTTCTATTAGAAGCAAGTTTCTTAAAGGCTTCAGTTGCTTCCTTGTGTAAAACATCGAATGCGGTTTGTAATTCGGAATGAGACATATTAGATGACATATTATATCTAGAGTGACGTACCTGTTTCTTTTTCTTTTTCTGATTTGCGGAGAGACATAGATTCACGGACTCTTCTTCATCACTAGAGCTTTCATTAGAGGAGGAAGAATCACTGTCGCTTTCCCATGCGATGTACGCCCTCCTAGGCTTTGATGCTCTCTTATGTGACTTCGATTGTTCCATTTCTTTTCCCTTGTTGTTCATTGGACAGTCCGGTTTGTAGTGACCGGGCTTTCCACATTTATAGCACGTTCCTCTAGTCTTTTTGCCTTTTTGATTGTCATCTTTGGAGAACCTTGATTGCCTTCGGAAATTTACCAGGTTCTTCTCCGAATGTTGGATGCCGTTCTTTCTCACGTACCGGTTATACCGTTTAACGAACAGCCCCATGTCCTCATTTATGTCTTCTTCTTCGTCGTCGCTTGAAGAATAATCACTTTGCTCTTTTGCTTTAGACTTCGAGGAAGAAGCCTTAAGAGCTATGGACTTATTTTCACTCATCTTTACTTTGTCCTTCTTTTCTTTCCTTTCATGTTGGTCAAGACTCAAGAGTACCTGTTCATGCTCTTGTAGTTTGCCAAACAATGTAGTCAGGTCTAATACCGTAAGATCATTTGCCTCTTTGATGGCGGTCACTTTCGGCTGCCATTCCCTGCTAAGACATCTCAAAACTTTATTAGTAGCAAGATCATTGGAAATAGGTCTTCCTAGTGAATGTAATCTGTTTATGAGATGAGTAAATCTCTTTTGCATGTCAGCAATGGTTTCCCCTTGCTCCATGAAAAAAAGATCAAACTCTTGTATAAGAGTGTTGATTCGAGCCAACTTAACATCGTTTGTCCCCTCATGGGCAATTTGTAGTGCATCCCACATAGTCTTAGCCGTAGGGCAATGGGATACACGGTAGTATTCATCTACACCTAATGAGGAGATTAGAATGTTCTTAGCTTTCCAATCGTAATTATACTTTCGCTCATCGTCGTCGGTCCATTGTGCTTCGGGCTTTGGCACAACTTCGTTATTCTCATTTGTCATGGTTATTTCAATCGGACCATTGAGAATAACGTTCCATATCTTTCTATCTATGGAATTAATGTGCACCCGCATACAGTCTTTCCAATAGCTATAATTTTCACCGTTAAAAACGGGAGCTCTATTGTACGCCCCTTTTGGTTCGTTAGCCATTATTCTATCAATGTTGTATTTGAAGCACCGGAGAACCGGAGCTCGTGATACCACTTGTTAGACTAAGGCACGGATCTAGAAGGGGGGGTTGAATAGATCCCTTTTAAAAAATTTGAGTGGCGCTACCAATAAAATTGGTTTTCAAAATTGTTTTCAAATGCGGAAGCGGCCTTGGAAAATATAGTCTAAAACGAACAACTATTGGAGAGCCGGATATGCGTCAAGCAGATGAATTTAAGACGATAACGGATAGTAAATCACTACACACTTTTATGCAAAACTCAGATGTGATTCACTCGTACTATTTCCTTATTCCAATGATCAAAAATTACACCAAAACTAGCAGCAAAATTAAGGCAGTTTTAGTTCAGCACTTTTGTCGAACAGTTGGTGTGCACAAATACCTTAAATGATATTTGTGTTGAATGAGTGATTGAAAAAGCCTTAGTACAGTATTTCTATTGTACTTAGTAGTTAAAAAACAGTGTTTCACCAACTCACTCAATCAATACTACAATTTGACAAAATTACTTATTCTAGAATCACTTAATTTTTAAGCTGTTATTGAAAATGCAGAAAATAAAGGAACACAAGATTTGATGAGGCAGTTCCCCCAGTCGTCCTCGCGTTGGGGTACGTCTGCCCTCAATTCTACAATGAGAATTGAGATATGTATTGAATAGATATCACCTGTTTGGTAGAACAGTTATACACAAGAATCGATAGACAATTGATACAAACAATCTTAATGTTGCTGATAATTTCTACCACTTCTTGCCCCTTGATTCAAGATGAATCAAGTCCTCCAATTTGATGTGAATGACCTCCGATTGCAGCCACCTTATTGACAACTCTTCCGTTGATCAAACCTTCGGCACGGCTGATCTTAGACACACCCAAATTGAACCCGGAACGTCTTCAACCTTTCAACGCCCTAGCTACTAGATTGATCAACCTTCCGCTAATCAATCACCTTCGCACTCGCTTGATTGTTGAACCGACGATTCCGTAACAAAAGCCTTCAAAACCTGTAGTCTTGATAGGTAAAACCTCAAAGGTTTTCTCCCAAGAAACACCTGCACCAGCTTCCACTCGAACCGGATCTTCAATCACGCGTTCGAACCTTATCACCGTCGAGCAAACCACAAACCGCAGCAAAAAATTGATTATCTGTAATTTGAGGATTTGTGAGTTGATTGAACGATGAAGATGAAGAACACTGATGCACCTCTTTCACGTTTCTTGACCTGAACACTTTCTCACAATGCTTTCAAAAATGTTCTTAAAAATGTTAAAATTGAAAAGACAGCTATTTATAGTAATATACACAACAGACAGTTGACAGATCAAAGAAACATAGCAGAATTTCTGTTTCTGCGCGCGAACGGTCGACCATAGGGTCGGCGTGCGCTGAGCCGTGAGACACTCAAACTGTCATGCGCCGAGTCAGCGGTCGACGCATGATCTTCATGCGCTGAGCCGTCTGATTCTTAAACCTGCATGCGCCAAGTCAGCGGTCGACGCATGGTTCCATGCGCTGACCCGTGTGAACTGAATGAAACTGTGTGCTGACGGTATGGTCGGCTCATGGTTCAAAAATCTGCAAAAACATAAATATGTTTGTTGTTTCGTGCATCTTGTCACGACCAAACATTAGTCACATATATTGCCAATTAAATATGATGATTTAAAAGGATATAGGAAGGATGTAATATGTTAAGTATTGCATGACGATTCTGATTCATCTGAGGTTGTACTTTGTCATCATCGTAAGTATGCATGACGACTCCGATTCATCCGAGGTTGTACTTTGTCATCATCGAAACTTGAGAACGTATGTTGTGAGACAGTTTTCCCTCACAGGTAGGTTTCTTATAAGTTAAGGAAAGCACATAGACTTCCATTTATTCATAGTTTTTTTCCTTGGGAAAAATATCACCGTATTACATAAAGTTTGCAGCAGCCTTATTTTTCTTCCCACGGGAAAATGACACAGTTTGAAGACTTGCCTGAAGGATGCATCGCCGCCATACTCTCTCGCACTACTCCGGTTGACGCCGGCAGATTCTCACTCGTTTCCAATACTTTCCATTCTGCTGCCGATTCCGACGCCGTCTGGAATCAATTTCTCCCTTCTGATTCTCATGTCATGGATTCTATCATCTCTGATTCTCCTTCACTTGCCAACGTTCCTTCCAAAAAGGCTCTCTACTTAGCTCTATCCGACCGCCCTATCATCATCGACAATGGTCTCAAGGTATTGTTCTCCCCAAATTTCTCCATGTTAGGGTTTATTATGTTGAGTATGTAGTAATCGAAGTGAATTGATAACGCAGAGCTTTCAGTTGGATAGAAAGAGTGGAAAAATATGTTACATGCTAGGGGCTAGATCTATATCCATTGCTTGGGTTCATGATGAGCGATATTGGAAGTGGACTACTATGCCTAACTCCAGGTTAGCTGAGCTTTCACCTTAATAGATATTCCATCCGTTATGTAATGGATTACTTTCAACTTTTCTCTAGTTCCGATATTTTAGCCTTTGCAACTTGGGTACTACTTTTGGACAGGTTCCGTGAAGTCGCTGAGCTTCTTGATGTTTGTTGGCTTGAATTTTGTGGTACTATAAACACCATTGCATTGTCTCCAAATACTGAGTATGCAGCTTATGTTGTGTTCAACATGTTTAATCCCCGTAGATTTCAGAACAGTCCCGTAGAGTTATCAGTTTTTGTCGATGGTGGACATAGTAGTACTAAAATTGTCTGTTTCGATCCTAATGTGGAAGAAAGTTCTCACAACAGAGTAGAAGGATTGCAATGTCCTAATGTGAGAAGTGATGGGTGGTTAGAGATTGAGATGGGGGAGTTCTTCAATTCAGGCATAGAGAATGAAGAAGTCCAGATGAAGGTTTTAGAGAACGATAGTTATTGGAAGAGTGGTCTCATTGTTGAGGGAATAGAAGTTAGGCCTAAGTAACACAATTAAGCAACATGAACTATGCAAGGGGGGTCATGTGTCTTGAGTTACCGAATGATTTTGTTTCAAGTATTGTTACTTGGCACATATAGTAATGGTTATGTTATTTATTCTAGTTTAATATATTGGAATGTGAACTACTACTATAAAATTTATTGTGATGCAATGCTAATTTGTAGCCATTTATTAATTTTAATAGTATGAATGAATCGAAATATAGATATAGTAAAAAAATTTAAAAGAGCCTATTTAAATAATTTAAGATTATAAAAGGAGGTTATTTTTGTTGCGAATTAGGGATATGACAATGTATATGTTTACCATTATCGTGATGCCAACTTGTATCATTACATGTTAAAAAAATCTATAAATAATTTTTTTTTGTTTAAAATGAATAATAAAAATTTATTTATAAATTTTATGTAATATTAATGCATATATTTTTTTCAAAAAAAGTATTTATTTAATTTTTAACATGTGTCACCAGAATATTTATCATTATTCTTTTTATGTTTTTACAATTTATATGCTTTAAAAACATAAAAGTTAATGAGACCATAGTGTGATAATAAAATAATATTTAAATAATTAAACATAATTACTAATGTTGAATGATTAAAAAAGTTATAACTTACAATATTAGTAATTTATATAAAAGAAAATACAAAAAAAAACATAAATAAATATAAATAATGCAATGATTATATTATATTAAATACAAAAATATAAATAATAATTTAAATGTAGAAAATAATTATAATAAATTTATGAAAGCAACTGAAAAATCACATAAAAGCAAAGTATTGATAGTATGATACGGAAGGAAATGCATAATTTTAAAATATAATAATATTTTAATACATATAATTTTTTTAAATACTCTCCTTTTTCTCTTCAAAATCACTCGATTTGAAAAGATGAAAAAAATTGTTTTGAAGAGATTTAGCTTTCCCCTCCTCCTCTTCCAACATATTTAGTCTCTCCCCTTTCCATATATTCCAAAATTTGTACCTATGGAGTCTCAAACTCAGATCCCTTCAAATTAAATAGTAGTCACTTTACAACTTGACCAATAAATTTCCTTTGTTAATATTTCTAACCATATATTCTTAACTTAATAATTCAGCATAAATATTTATTTATTTACTTATTTTAAATATTAGACTAATATATATGGCAAATGAAGTGGTATTTTTTATATTTTGAAACTCATCACAATGAATTATACTAATCTGTTAGTTAAATATTTTTTCAAGCATAATCTATCTCATCCAACGAAAACGATTATGTGAAATACACACTACCTGTGATTTTGAATATTGATGTTAGTAACCTCGATAATTCTGACGTCTAAGATTTTGGTGGATTCATTCGAAATTCTGATGGTGCTAAGGTTCACGATTTTGCGAGTAGTATTGGCTATTTCAACATTCTTCGCGTTGATGGCGTTATATCATAGTTTGTGTATGGCCTGAGAATTTGACATCAAAGACTTTACATGTTATTCTGATTTCAAATCTGCTATTAAGGTTATCTCGGAGTCTGTTAATGTTTGACATCACTATACTGCAATTCTATACAACATTAAAGAACTTCTCATTAGGGAATGACGAGTTCAAATATTTCATACTCTTATGGAGATGAATGTTTGTGTTGAATATCTAGCAAAACATAAAGTTCGTAACGATGCGACAAACCAGTATTTTGTAGAGTCTCTGGTAAGAATCATTACTCTCCCACAAATTGGTGCTAGTGGAACCTTATTTTCTAAATAATTAATTGTTTTTTTCTTTTCTCTTTTTCACTTGCACGAAAAAAATTATAATTGATTAAAAAAACTATTGTAATCTATATTAATATATTAATATTGAATCTCACACTAAATAATTAATTGTTTTTTTCTTTTCTTTTCTCTAACAATTCATTTTCTTACTCGCCATATCACTAAATATCTGACGTAATACTTTAAAATAAAATTTTCTAAAATTTCTATTATTTATTTTTTTAAAAGTGTAACTTTTCATTTATGAATTTCTTTTAGTTAAAATATTTCTATTTTCATATTTCATGACTCCCTTTTTATTGATTTATTTAAGTTTATATACAAATTGTACATTCACAAAACATTGTAACACATATTATATATTATAAGTTACTTATGTAAAAATTATATATATCCATCATATATCAATACTCAAACTATTAAAATTTATTCTATTTTCTATTTCTATTGTGCACACTAATTTTTTTTGAAAAAAATTAAATTAATTAATTTTTAAATAATTTGATAAAAAAAAAACTAAGAGAGTTGATTCAATGTTTACAAAAATTAAATTAATTAATTTTCAAATAATTTGATAAAAAAACTTTTGTCTCGTAATAAAAAAGATAACATTGTCACTACTTAAATCATTAAAAAAAAATACTAATTGATTTCATAACAACAATTATTAATATACAATTTATTTTATTTTTCTTAGACTAATCATTATTTTTATTTTTTTCGTATTTATTTTTTTGGTCTCTATCAATATTTCTAAAAAAATTACATTATATAATATTTTACAAAATTAAACCATAAAATTTTAGTTATAATTTAGAATTTATTATATAAAAATATCCTATAATTTTATTATATTGAAGGGGATAATTCAATTGAATCAAATCAATTATATATATTGCTAATTAATGATAATTTAAAATATAAATTTTATAGGGTCTCAATCTGGTTTATAAAATAAAAATAAGAGGGTTATTGAACAGTGGATGATGCTGTATAAAGTATAGAATACAACACAGACTCTCACACAGATACACTCTTTCTTATTTTCATTGCGAACTAGATTCAATTTCATCGTCGTTTTCGTGCTTCCACCACTGCAATATTTCTGGTTTCTGAAGAGAAAATTAGGAACGGCTTTTTTTTTTTAAAAAAATTATAAGAGGAGAAAAGCAAATGCGTTTACCTTGTGGTATCTCTATTCCCTTGTCTCGTTTGTTTCATTCTTCTCTTAATTCTTCTTTCCATCATTCTTCTTGTCAAATTCCATTTCCTTTCTCACACCCCTCTTCATTCCTGGTTTTACAAGAAAAAGTGCTGATTTTTCGGTTACCCGTATGTAGTTATCAACGAAAGTTTATGTTTTTGGATAACTATAGGTCATTTGGTAGTGTTAGTGGGGTTGAATCTGATGTTAATAGTAGTGAGTCATGTGCAGATCCTGATGAGGTTGATAGGGTATGCAAAGTGATTGATGAATTGTTTGCTTTGGATAGGAACATGGAAGCAGTTCTAGATGAGTGTGGTGTTATGTTATCACATGATTTGGTTGTTGATGTGTTGCATAGGTTTAAACATGCTAGGAAGCCTGCTTTTAGGTTCTTTTGTTGGGCAGGGAAAAGGCCTGGTTTTGAACATGATTCAAGGACTTATAACTCCATGATGAATATTTTAGGGAAGACTAGACAATTTGAGACCATGGTAGCATTGCTTGAGGAAATGGGTGAGAAGGGTTTTTTGACAATGGAAACTTTCGCAATTGCTATTAAGGCATTTGCTTCTGCGAAGGAGAGGAAAAAAGCTGTTGGAATCTTTGATATGATGAAGAAGTTTAAGATTAAAGTCGGCGTTGATGCGGTTAATTTCTTGCTTGATAGTCTTGGTGCGGCGAAGCTTGTTAAAGAAGCACAAGTTGTTTTTGAAAAGCTTAGAGATAGGTTTGTTCCTAATTTACAAACTTATACTATACTTCTTAATGGTTGGTGCAAGGTTAGAAACTTGCTTGAAGCAGGGAGGGTGTGGAATGAGATGATTGATAAAGGATTCGTGCCTGATATTGTTGCACATAATATTATGCTTCAAGGGTTGTTAAGGTGTCAGAAGAAGTCAGATAGCATTAAGTTATTTGAAGTCATGAAAGCCAAAGGTCCGTCGCCCAATGTTCGCAGTTATACGATTTTGATACAGGACTTGTGCAAAAGAAATATGATGCGGGAAGCTGTTGAATATTTTAACGAAATGGTGGATCACGGGTGTCAACCTGATGCTGCACTTTACACTTGTTTGATCACTGGGTTTGGGAGGCAGAGGAAAATGGATACGGTATATGATCTACTGAAGGAAATGCGTGAAAGAGGTTATCCACCTGATGGAAGGACATACAATGCTTTGATAAAACTGATGGTAAGCCAACACATGCCTGATGATGCAGTGAGAGTATACAAGAAAATGATTCAAAGTGGCATCGAACCAACAATTCACACATACAACATGATAATGAAATCCTATTTCGCTACGAGAAATTACGAATTTGGCCAAGCTGTTTGGGATGAGATGCGTCACAAGGGGTGTTGTCCTGATGATAACTCATACACTGTATTCATTGGTGGGCTTATAAGACAAGGCAGGCCAGATGAGGCATGTAAATATATAGAAGAAATGATGCAGAAAGGGATGAAAGCTCCTCAGCTTGATTATAACAAGTTTGGTGCTGATTTTTCCAAGTATGGGAATCCTGTCATACTCGAGGAGTTAGCTCGAAAGATGAATTTTGCTGGTAAGTTTGAAGTGTCTAATGTCTTAGCCAGTTGGGTTGATATGATGAAGAAAAACTCAAAGAGAACAGATGCTACATTGTAGGTAGTTTTTATGATTACTTGATTCATATACTTGCAGGCTGGCAAAACCCCCTTGTGTTAAGCTCTTTATTTTGTATATATCTTTTGTTTGAAACTTGTAAACCAGTGTTATATAATGGTCTGTACTAGTTTGAATGAAGAGTTTGACTAATTTGAAAATTTTCTGGATATTTGTTCTTGTTTTACGTTGCAATGATGTAATATTATTAAAGCAGACACATATATGTGTGTATAAGTAAGGCTTCAAACTGAAACCAAATCCATTGCAACAAAAGAAGCAATACAGGATGATTTTCCGAAGTCCAAATAAAATAATCAGAAATGTTTTTTCCAATAAGCATTTTAGGATAGGGTGTGTTTTTTCCCAATAAGCAATAGAGGCTTGAGTGTTGGAAATTTAGAAATGTTTGATATAGCCTTCTAGAAATTTAGTTGAGAGACATCTTTTGTGGAATACAATTTTGGTTTCAAAATATGTAAAAAATCAGACGAACATACAAATCAAGTATTTGTGAGGAACAAATATTTTACAGCATTTTATAGTTTGGAAGACATTACCACAAAATTGTGAGGATAGAGCATGCACATATCTCCGACTGAAACGGCCAGACATCTAAAGATCAAATGCTAGGCTTAAGAATTCTAAAAATATCTATTGAACTATAACTGATTTAACTTTTATCATCTAAACACCGAGTAATACGGAACATCTATAATGCCGTCTATGCGATTGGAGCAATCCAAATGTCCACTTTACATTTTTCTTACTGCTGATTCTTGATGTTGGACAAGCATTTTTTTTCTTCTTTTTTTGGTATTGGAATAGTCTTAATCGATTAGTTAAGCAGGGATGTTTATAGTGAAGTACATTAGTCTTAATCAAATAGTTAAGCAGGGATGTTTATAGTGAAGTACATTATTTTAATTCTGATTGATGTAATTATGTATTTTGTGAGTTTATTTGTTGATTAACAATCTGCTTTCACTTGTATTTCTTGGCCCCTTAGACTGCTGTTGAGTATGATTGCAGGAGAGAGAAATTTTTCAATGAGCTTAAAATTGTGTTCGCTGATGTGGTATGAATATTTTCAATTTGGCAGAAATTTTTTCTTATGAAATTCGTTGCTTAGTTTCAGTTACTGCAAATTGCTTTCATGTGATTATACCTTTTATATGCAAAATTGTTGGTGATACTATTGATGAAGCAAGAAAAGCGATACTGATCGGTGGAAGTGTTCCATTGTGATGGTTTTGTCATGGAATTTGATTGTGTTGGGACTTGTTGGAGCTAAGACAGATATTGATTTTGTTGGTGATCCTATTACGCTTTTGCTTTCGTTGAATCCTTTTGCTTTATGTGCTGTTCAAGGTTTCGCTTTTTCGGCTATGGCAACTAGTTTGATTGGTTATGCTATGAGTTTTCCTAAGCAGATTCTCGACACTTTTGAATTGGGGTGCAGCAGCAGCAGGTCTGCTTTGGTTATTCTCTTGTTGCTCTTTTGGCATAATGGGAGTTTATATTACGGGTCTGGCAACAGTTCAGTTTTTGCAGAATAGGTTTGAAGTTTTTTGTTGCTGTTATAAACCAATTTCCTCATGGTACTGGTGGTTTGGTTTATTAAAATGGTCTGGCCTTCTTTTCTGTTTATTCATTTTTGTAGCTTTGGAGTGTGGTGATTCTACTCTTGTTTCTGGTTTTGTACTCTTCTTTTCTGGTTTTGTCCAAAATGGGAATTCCATTTATTATGTTATTGTTATTATATTGCAGAGATAATTATGGGTTGTTGAGATAAAGTACTTCCTAACATCTTGTAAGTGGTTGCCAACTACAGGGCTCATTAGTTAAGCATGGATATAAACTTGTTTCTGATGGTAGTGATAATCACCTGCTTCTTGTTGATCTCTGTAAGCTTCTCCTGCTTTCTAGTATCAATATAATGATAATTCCCTCTTTTGTTTCCTCCTCGATCTTGTGAAATTTTCTCATAAAATCGCAATGCTATGTAAATTATTGACACGATGTGATTTTTCTTATTGATAGTCATATTGATCAGCATCACATCCTTTAGGGTATTGATGGTGCTCGGGGGAGAAAATTCTTGACATGGCCTTTATAACCCTCAACAAGAATTCGGTAGCCCTGCATTTTGACACGACTTTTATGTAGAAACACTTTTCATTCATAGGAATTGTGTTATGACATGTGCTGCTGATTACAAAAGGTGAAAGAAGTGCCAAGTTCCCAGAGGCATTCGCCTAGAATGAAACAAGAGGACTTGGTGAGAAAGAATTTGAACTAATTGCAGACTTAATTCATGAGAGTGTGCACATATGTCTTGAATCGGATTCAAGATTTCTTAAACTTTGTGCTATCTCCTGAATTTCCTTTGAAAGATAAGGTTTCAGATTTGCGAAGGAAAGTTGAAGTTCTTGCCACCAAGTATACTATTCCTGCCACAAACTAGAACACTGCTGAAAATTTTGATATCTTAATAATTTACTTATTTTGTTTTTGTGCTGTTGTTAACATAACATCCCTGATATACTTTTTAGTTTCTGTTTGTCTAAAACCAAAGTTTATCATGGTGTTATTGTTGCATCTTGCTCTATCAAAGTTATGACATGAAGCAATATATCTTACAATTTTTGAATGATTAACTACTTAATTATTTGGTTTAATACATGTTTTAGCCTCTTAACTTAATTTGATGTTAATTTGATGTTTCACTTTAGTTCTTTAACTAAAAAACCTTATAAGTTCTTTAATTTCACTTCCATTATTTTATTTGATCATTTCTATTAATTTCTAGAAAAAAATGTTAAGTTTTGGTGATGTGGCCATTTAGTTGTATATTTTAATCTGATATGGCGTTATTGTAAATGTATTACTTAGGTTTCAACCCCTTTCTAGTGCACTCATCCGCAATCTTCAAAATCTTGTCTACCTCTCCAATTTTACAATATCCACTAACATCAACACCATAACTTACAACATCAAGAAAATTCCCTCTATGTTTCATTTGTATACGCAGGTTACGTGTTTCTTTCACCTTACCTAATTGATAGAGACAATAAAGAACAATGTTTTATGAAACAATATTCCAACAAACACCCAATTCAAGAAATTCTTTAAACATCTTAATTACAATCTTAATCCTCTCAAAATTGCAAAACAACTTAAACTGAAATAAATTACAAGAATCTCCTGACACAACAACACTGTCCCTAACAATTTATAAAAAAAATTCTCAACTTCTAAAACAAACTCAGTTTCAATTAACACTTTAAAAAACACATAAAAACAGGAGGAACAAGAGGGTGTGAGCCCCAATCTTTATAAGTTTAACTCAACCTCTTAATAAAAAGATCAAAGAATTTCTAAACATTCAACTGCGACATAGCGCATAGCTCAAAAACAAATTTTTTTAGTAGTTTAGATGTCGTTTGAAGCATCAACAACTATGTGAACAACAATGTAAAATGATTTTAAAGTGGGGTGAAGTAGCAACAACTACGTGAGCAACAATGTAAAGTGATTTTAAAGTGGGGTGAAGTTGTTTTTGCGAATGTAATTTTACCCAATTGAAGAGGTTTTACTATGAGTTGTTTTTGCGAATTCAAATAAGATGACATGGTTTGAAGCGAGACTTGTAAGCTTTGAGAACGAGGCGGAAGGGTTTGGTCGGTGTCTGTGACAGTAGGGTTTTGTAGAGAGTAGTCAGAAAAAGGAAGAGGAGTTGCATTGCAATGACAAATAGGATGAAATATTGTTAATAATAAAAAAAATGACATGTTAAATAAAAATATACAATTAAATTGTTACATCATTATAATTTAACGTTTTGTTTTTGTCGGTAACAAAATTAAAATTAAGAGATTAACTTATAATATTTTATAAAAAAGGGATTAAAACCTTGTGGACTAAATATACCAATTATTTATCAACAACCACCAACTAATTTTTAAAGGGAGTTATAATTAACTTAATAATCAAATAACTAATTTTTTAATGGAATAATTCATATACATTTGTTAATGTAAAAAAGCTTCATACATTCGATTAATCCCAATTTGACATTTCATTAGTAACAATCCATTTTTATCATAATTATTTAAATTCACGTACTTATTTGATTACAAATTTTTAAATGCATATATTGAGACGGTCTTGTGTGGACAAAGTAAATTTCAATTATTATTTTCTTTGACGGTGTTATGTGGAGAAAGCAAATTTAAATTATTGTGTAGGTAAACGTCACTTATTCTAAAATATTCTAAAATGAAGAGAGTTTTTTTCTGCTCATAATTATTTGCAAAAGTAAAGATTTTTCCAATATTACACGTTTTTATATAGACAAGACTCTTTCAACTCAACCAATTATTTTTGTATCAATATATTTTGGATAATGCTATGTTAAAAAATTTATAAATAAAAAATTTGTATAAAAAAAAACAATAAATTTATTAATTGTAATTTTGTATTAATTTTAATACACTAATTTTCAATAAATTTTTACTATATTTATTTTTTAACTTGTGTCTTTGAGACACAAGTTAGCATTACCCATATATTTTTAATATGTTATATTTTTTATTAATTTTTTTTAAAAGTAAAAATATTTTATACTGTCAATAAATTATTTTATGAATAGTCGTAATGCAACTAAAATGTAAAACTTTTTATATTGAAAATGTATATTAATTAATCTCTATTTATAATATTAATTTAAAAAATATTAGCCAATTATTTTCAAAATAAACTCATAAAATAATGTCAATTAATTATAAATATAGTTTAACAACCAACTTTCTTGATTTTTAAATTTTGTAAAAAGATTTTTCTCACCTAATAAAAAAACAAATAGTAAATCATTAATAAAATATCACAAAAACAAAAGTTTACTTAGTATGCACGACAATGACAACAATTTAATTTTTCTTCTTCTTGCCCATTGCTCTTATTTTAAAAAAAAAAAAAAACACATCACTAGAGCATTTTCTAATTTTCTTAAGAGGTGAAGGGAAGGTCCTACAATTTAGAACCCATACTAATAAAAAAGCATTGAATGACACGACTCTATAGTCTCTACACATGTGTAAACAACATAGCACTGATAATAAAATAAAATAAAATAATAAAAAAAATATAATACTAAAGAATAAAGATAAAGATCCATTCGCATAAATATCCTTTTTACTAACTTTACTCGTCCGGATTGTGTGGCACATATCCTCTCACTTAACCGCTAAGCTTCCCTCTCTTAAACGAAGCATCCGCTTCCTATAAAAAACAAACTCGAAACTCATTTTCAAACGCTCATTTCAATTTTCATCATGGTGGTTGTTATTGAAGAAGAAGAAGGTGTTGAATTTCACGATCTCCCTGAAGGTTGCATCGAGAACGTTCTCTCGTTCACCTCGCCGCGTGATGTTGCGAGACTCTCTTTGGTTTCATCCATGTTCAAATCCGCCGCGGAATCTGATTCCGTTTGGGACAAGTTCTTGCCGTCCGATTATCGTTCCATTATTTCGCAATCGGAAAGTGATGCTGATGAGTCTTTATCTGTTCTTCCTAAGAAGGATCTTTATATTAATCTTACGCAGAAACCGCTTGTCATAGACGGTGGTAAAAAGGTTATTATTCTGCTCTGTTCAATCGTGAATACATGTTGATTATTTGATTTTTTTTTTTATCTAATTTGTGTTTTGTTGTTGTGTTATCTGGAATTAGAGCTTTCAATTGGATAAAGTTGATGGGAAGAAATGCTATATGTTATCGGCGAGGAGTTTGTTTATTGTATGGGGAGATACACCTAGGTATTGGAAGTGGATTTCTCTTCCAGATTCAAGGTAAATAATGCAGTTTAATTACTATGAGTTGATCATTGATTTGTTCATGAAATTGCGTCTATATTGGTTGATTTGGTTTTAAAATTGGCAGAATCTTGAAATGATTTGTGAAGTTTAAAGTATTAGATCATGTTAATCTTTTTAGATAGATCAATTTAGTCTTGGAAATGTCTTTGAAGATTGATGTGATTGATGATTTTTAATTATAGTTTGAACTTATCGTCAAAACGGTAACGACCCCAATCAGTATGACAACACCGGTTACCACCTGTACCCACACCAAAATGTATCCACATAAATTGCGAAAGCTTTTATGTTATTTAAAACCTAGCTTATCTTATCTTATCTTATATAAGGTTTACATCATAGCTTATGAAAACAAATTACCACCTTAAGAGCCATAAAACTACAAACAGAAACATCAAAATAAAAGCCAAAAAGACTCTTTAGGTTATTGTTGATGGATTGGTATTTCACTCATAGGATACATACCTTATATGACAGAATGTGTAATTATAATAAAGTAATTGGCTTTTAATAATAATTTGTGTAATTCTAATAAAGTAGTTGGCTTTCAGTAGTTATTGTACAGAGATTTTATGTCACAAAAGTCATTAGATTAGATTCTAACCGGTTTTATATTAGAGAGGGGAATAACACTATTTTATTTTTTTTAGAATGTGTACTTCTAATGAAGTAATTGACTTTCAATAATTGTACATAGATTTTATGCCACAAAAGTCATCATCAAATTCTAATCGGTTTTATATTAGAGAGGGGAATATTAGAGGGGAGTAACACTATTTTAAAAAATGGTTAGAGAGGGGAGTATTAGAGGGGAGTAACACTATTTTAAGAAATGGTTAGAATTTACTGCTAGGTAGTTGGTGTGGTTTGTTTAGGCTGTAGTTCGTTTCCTAGTTGTGGTTGTGGTTTTTTTGTTAGTTCTTTTTTTAGTTTTTGGTTTTTTTGTGGTGTTCTTTTTTTTTTCTTCCTAAATTAATTGAAGGTGTTTTTTTTAATTAAAAACCATATTTATTTTGTACTTGCGTGGATATTGTTTTTTAAAAATCTAAAATAAGCTATATATGAAGAAGCAAGAGTGCTAACAAAAAACTTAAAAACACACTTCACTATGAAGTTATATAGTAATTATTAAATAAAATATATTATCTATAATATGATAATACATGTTTATATATTAATTATTAAATAAAATATATTATCTATAAAATTATTTCAACCAATTATCATTATTTCTAACAGACAACAAATCAAATATTTTATATCTTCATATGTAATGTGAGTTAATTTTAGTGGATATTACATAAATTACTAATAAAAAGGACCATCGGAAAAGAAATTTATGTAGTCTATTAATTTAAATGAATTCAAATTTAAAGATTAATTTTTCTTCATCACACAATATTCTGTGACACACACTGTGAAGGGTGTTTTGAAGTTTTTTGTAAGCACTCTTGCTTCATATAGCTTATTTTAGGTTTTGAAATATTTTTGTAAACACTCTTGCTTCATATATAGCTTATTTTAGGCTTTGAAAATTTTTTTGTAAGCACTCTTGCTTCGTATATAGCTTATTTTTGAAGTTTTATTGGTAAGCCTTCATGCTTCATATATAACTTATTATTAGGTTTTGAAACAATATCCATGTGGGTACAAATTAAATATGTTTTTTAATTAAAAAAGCACCGTTTCAACATCAGATATAAATTCAAACCATTTACTTATCTTCTATATATAAAAATATAGATTCTTATACCACAACAAACCAATTAGAATTTGATGACTTTGTTTGTAGTTTTGTGGCTCTTCAGGTTATTTCACACCTGACCATCACAATTTACCACCTGTACCCACACCAAAATGTACTCATTGAAATTGCGAGCAATTGTAGTTGCGACTTTGACTGTTATATAAAATATTAGCTTATCTTATCTTATATAAGGTTTACATGATAGCTTATGAGAACAAATTATATGATATCTGTTGTAGAAATAACTTAATATAATCACTTATAGGATTATGTTACCTTAATTAAAATCTATGTTTATTCAAATAGAGCCTAAATTGGTATCTGATCTGTTGTAGAAATATCTAAATATAATCACTTATATGATTCTGATACCTTAACTAAAATGTATGTTTATTCAAATAGAGTCTAAATTGGTATCTGATCTGTTGTAGAAATATCTTAATATAGTCACTTATATGATTCTGATACCTTAACTAAAATGTATGTTTATTCAAATAGAGTCTAAATTGGTATCTCGATCAATTTAGTCTTCAAACTGTTTTTAGACAATATTGTGATGGATTGTTTTCATTTCTAGAGATCACTTTTTTAGAGTCTTAATTGACCTCTACTCTAATTTCAAAAAACTAAAGTGGTGGTTCATTAATTAATTTGTTATCTATAAATCTCAATGGTGATTGAACAGAACTTAAACCGATTCCAAACTGCAGGTTTTCTGAAGTGGCTGAACTTGTGAGTGTCTGTTGGTTTGAAATCCGTGGCTGGATCAACACCAGTATGCTATCTCCACAGACTTCGTACGGAGCATATCTTGTATTCAAGGCAACTGGTTCTGGAACCTATGGGTTTGAATATCAGCCAGTTGAGGCCTCCATTGTCATTGCTGGAGGCGATCATGTTGAAAGAAATGTATTCTTGGATGTAGAAAGAGGAAGAAGGCTAAGATACCAAATCGTTCCTCGTCGTTTCCGTACTGGGATATTCAGTCGAGCACCTTTTGTGGAAGCACCAGTAGCTCCCACAGAAAGTGTTGAAGATATGCAGAAGTATCCGAAGGATAGGGCAGATGGGTGGTTGGAGATGGAACTGGGAGAGTTCTTCAACGAAGGTGGAGATGGCAAGGAAGTGGAGATAGGAGTTTATGAGGTGAAGGGCGGTGGTTGGAAGGGTGGTCTTGTTGTTCAAGGAATTGAGATAAGGCCTAAGCCTAAATCATGTTGAATGAGTGACTAAACCAAAAACTCAGGTTATTGTCATCTCAATGTGTATGATTTTTGTATTAGGATCTGTTCTTGTATATGTCATACTCATCTTTCATGTTAGTACAGACAGATTCATATAGATATTACTGGTATAAGAGTATGTTTCCTTCAAATATGCAGTCAATGCGGATTAGTAGCATCTCTGGTAAGAGGAATGTCACCCCAATCAATGAGTATTGGGAGTGATGGTGTTGTTTCTGTCTTTTTTATCTAGTCATATTTATTTAAATTAATAATTATAAATAAATTACATTGAAATTTTTTCAATGTTTCAGTGCAATATTGATTTTCAAGTACTGATTTCTCTTATGAGTGATGCCTTGTGCAAAATCATTGTCATCAAGTATGTATGGCCATTGTAAGTATAGAGTTGATCAACTTTAGATGATTTAGATGATTTTTGTCACTATGATAATGCTCATGAGGTTGATCCTGTTTAGTTAAGTTGTTCCTATAGATTTGATGAAATTCAATTACTTTCCTAAGAGACAGATCATGTATAGAATCTTTATTTTCAACAATGGTTATCACTGACCAGAAATTTTTCTGTAGGAATTCCAACAAGTTTTTCAAGTTATTTTTAGTGTTTTTACAAAAATCATATTATATTATCTTCATAAATAACAGAGCCTAGCCAGGTCCAATGATAAAACCTTAAGATCAAAGTCAGAAGCTGAAAGAGCTAAAAAAGGAAGTTCCAATAAGCAGTATCAAACTTATCTTTGAAGTTTTTATCATCCCAGCATTTAATAAAATCCTCTTTGTTACCAAGAAATAAATTAAGTTGGCATTTAGAATTAAAGTATTATGTGCAACATTCTAAACAAATTATTTAAATAGAAAGTACTAGTGCTTGGTGAGCTAGATGAATATCTAAGATTACAATTAAGAGATTATTCAACAACTATATCACTAAACCAAACCTATTTTTGATGTACTCATCTTTGATACCAGGAGGACTGGAGGTTTATCATCAATATTTACCTTCACGAAAAGTATAGAATAATTTAAATGATAATCTCGGAGATTTCTAAACAATTTAACCATTTGTTCATAAAGTTTATATGAATAATATTGATACTTAAAAGACAGTCACCCGTTGACAATCATACTCCAACCAAAGTGAAAATTAATCTTTTTATAAGCAAACTTAATAGGCATAATAGCACCGTAAGTTTTGCATGAAAAAGTGACATTTTCAATATTGCAAGCTTCAAAAATAAATACCATCTATATTTTATTCTCTACTTTGGTATGAGGGGCCAAGCTACTTGGGAGAAAGGGTGGACCTGAATTATTAATTAAGAAGAATGTCCCATATTATATGAAATAAATGCCATCAAAAAATGAGATGGTAAGGAAATTTAACCGAAGTCTTTTTAAATTCTTTTAAAAGAGTGTTCTAACATTTTTCATATTGTAATTCTATTTAACTCGAAAAATTAATCTTTGCAGTTGCCTTTAATAAAATATTAAGTAATCCATTTTGTTGTTTTCATTCCTATTAACTTTTGTGACCTTTTTCAAACACAAACAAACCACTTGCTTTTCATTTTTTTCGTTGCAATATATCTCTGCATTACTAGTTTCTTATCATTTAAAATATGATTTTTAAAATAATATTTTTTTCAAATTATTATCTAAGAGCAAAAATATAAATACATTATTATAATCTTATTGAGCTTGAGATTATGTTATCGGTATAAAAATTATTGCTAGAATTTGTAGTGTTTGTTTAAAATTATTGTGTATGTATCAATTTTATAATATTACTCCCTCCGTTCTAAATTATAAGGCGTTTTGTGTATTTTACACAAATTAAAAAACTTAATTATTATTTTATAGAAAAGACAAATTAGGTATTTCTTTAGAGTAATGTCCCTCATAATTACATAGGAGAGAGGAATTAAAAGAGTTAAAAGAATAAATAATAATAAATACTTGATGGTATATTTGAGAAAATGTCATTAATATTGCACGTAAAGCGACTTATAATTTGGGGTAAATATTTTCTTAGTAAAGTGACTTATAATTTGGGACAGAGGGAGTAGTATGAATGGTCTATAAATATGATCTTAATTATGTTTTTTTTAAACATATTTTTACTAATAAGCAATGGAAAAAAATTCAAAAGAAAATTAACAATCATCGACTCCTAATCTTCAAATCATTGATGATAGTGGTGAAGTTACATGTCCTTATTACATTCATGGGGAGAACCCTAATATAGTTTTGTTGTTTTTCTTACAGTTTTATTTTGTTTATTATTTTTTATTATGTCTTCTTCACGATTGCATATATCTGAATCGATTCGTTTTTAGCATGCATAATTCAGTTGGTTGTATTTGAGTTTGATCATGATGTTTAAGTCAATTGCTTGAGTTAGTGGAATAAGTACCATATGTGTTGTTGATTCAAGTTAGGTGAAAAAGGAAATATATTTTCAAAATCGTGTAAAATTGAGATTTTATGTGCATGATTCAAATCATGTACACATCCCGATTTGAATCAAACTGAATAAAGGCAAACATAAGTTTTTCAAACTCTGTGACTCGAATCACAATTTTAACTTGATTCGAATCAGACAGCTTTGTGACTCGAATTACAAGTTGCACTTGATTCGAGTCACATATCTGGTCAGCCCCTACCTCATTTGATTCGAATCACAACTTTCATTTGACTCGAATCACACATTTTAAACATTTTTCTAGTTGGTGTTGTTCTGTTTGACTCAAATCAACTTTGTACATGATTGTAATCACGAGCTTTCATGACTCGAATCAGGCTTATAAGGTGACTTGAATTACGGGAAAATGTGTCATTTTTCTTTATGAGATCTTTTTCACTCTACTTGCTCATTTGACTCAAATAATGAAATGTTACCGACTCAAATATAACTAACTTTTTTCATTCATTTTTGTTCTTAATATCAAGCACATATAAATTGATTTTGTCATCTTATTTTCCAAAGCAATATCATAATTTACATTGTGATTTTCTAAGCAATACCATAATTTACATTGTGATTTTCTAAAAACAACACCCTCTCATATTTGAAAATTCAAAAACTTTTGAAAATAATAATTCTTTCATCTTCAACCTCTAGTTTGGTTTCTGATCTTGATCATGGTGATTTGTAATTGTTAAGAGAGACATGTTTTAAAACTAATCGTTCTTGAAGGTTTGGTAAAGTTTTTTTGGAAGTTTGGAAGATTGAGGTTTTTATCATTAGTGCTAACAAAATATAGTGAAAAGAAGAAAGTTCTTCTCTCTAGTTGACCTTGACAGTGACTGTGTGGCTACAATCATGGTGAAGTTTTTCTCAATTTTTGGACATTTCACCTCTCATGAAATCAGTGGGATCAATGGGTGATTCTCACACACGAAGACTGTGAGCAGGTTGGTGAAATTGGAAGATTCAAGAAGCGAGAATCAAATAAAGATTTCGTAGAAGAGTTTGACATTAAGTTGTATACAAGTCAAGATTCATATGAGATTTATTTTTCTCATCATTATTATAAATTATTGATTGTATGTACTCTTGCAATATTTGTCAAAATATAAAGGAAGAAAATAAGTTCCAATGGGAAACCATTGAAGAGTGGAGTAGACTCCTGCGAGGAAGATAGAGCTGAACCACTATATATTCTCATGTACTCTCTCTCTCTCTAACACACACACACATGCACATGCACAAACACACACAAACGAACACACACACACACACACCTATCCTACATTAGATGTCTTTCTTGATTTGTATCAAGCAAAATATTTATTTTCGTTAATGTTTTTTTAAATAAATATGGGCAATTTAACCATCACCATCCTACAAACACTTCTACTAATACTAAAAGTACAAGAAATTCTAGAAGTGTCACGACGATGGGCAAGTTGACAAAAGTTCGCAATACTGGTGTTAGGATGGTAATCAATTTTTTTTACAAAGTGGTAAGTGTGTTAGAACAACATTTGTTCATGACATATTTTCCTTGGGTTTTAATGATAACAAAGTATTGAAAGAATAATGGTTTATTTGATGTGTTACATGTGTGAGGTTCTTATACTTATAAATATTATTGTCAGAATCTGTTCTACATTAAGCACACTTTGAGAGTTGCTGCATTGTAGCTTCTGGTGGCGGAATCTGAAGAAGACTTGCTAAGTGATATCTGACGAAGACTCAAAAGATGAAGATCTCAACATCAGAAGAAACAACATTATTATCTCTACACTTAGTGAATGAAAATTGGCTTCTAGTACCATTCGGAGTTGGTGATAAAGCTGAAGTTGTCTGTACTGTAGAAAGTAAGTTGTATTGTCAAATCAGTGTCAGCTAGAGTATACAGATCACAAGACTCAAGAAAAGCTGAGATGCTTTATATATATCTACTCTTAATGGATCTAATAATACAGAGTCTCTTGAAGACTCAAAGGTTAAACATGTTATAAATTGGATTAAGATCTTTTGGTGTATCTATCTTCAACGACTGTTGTACTATGGAGTAACAACAAAGACTCTTGATCAAGTTATCTCCTCCACGACTAGTTTCTTAAAAGGCTATAAATATGACTGAAGTTTCAAATTGAATCTTTAAAACGGATCAACTAGAAGAAGGAGTAACAAGATCAACAATTATCAACTCAATGTATATGCAGATTTTTCTGATGTAGGTTGTAATTGTAAAAGCCTTGTTTGAGCCACATAAGTCTTTTTCTATGTGGATTGATTGAGCATAAGTCTTGTATCATTGGGATACAAGCAAGTAAGTCTCAATTCAAGATGCTTGAGCCACATAAGTCTCTTGCTACGTGCTTGAGCAGTAAAAGTCTTAATCAAGTAGATTGAATGAGCAGGAAATTCTTGAGCCAGTGTGGCTTGAGCATGATAGCCCAGTTCATAAAATATGGAGCAATAAGTCTTGACTTGGGTGGTGCAAGTGGAAGCTAGTTTCATGG